AAAAAAAAAAAAAAAACTCATGGGATTAAACAATCTAATCTCATCCCTTCAAGTAAACGGGGTCTCCATGGTTTAGTGTACGTTAATTCATTTTTTAGTTTTTCATTCTCTCTCCCGAAATAATACATCTCCATTTTTTGTCGACAGTTCTCCTCTGAGAGTTGATTCTCCAATATGCCTATATCGCTGTTGACCCAGCCATTTGCACAACAAAGGTAGTGAAAAGGTGCATACTGCATAGCTTGTTAGGAGTAAGTATACCCCGCTCAATTAAGCAACAAATTCAGTTGCATGAATATCACACAAAATAAAAGAGCCGCCACAAAGAATGACAAACTAGAAAGAAACATAACATTGGCTCACACCCAGCAGCAATGCCAAAATCCTGCATCATCCACAAGCCTGTAGTGTGCTTCACATGCACAAGTAAAATTCAAAAGGAAGTATAAACTAAAACACATCAGGGAAACGTCCCGGGAACGGGCTGCTCTGTTGTGCCTGCTTAAGGTGCATTGCGAGGGCATAGTTGTTAACCTGGAGAAGAAATAAATTAATATAAATGTATCGATATCAGAGGGAGTTTCACTACAAGATACACATAGAACTATAGAAATAATCAAATGGCTTCAGCATAAAATTTAAAGTCGTGATAGGTTATTGAGTACAATCGAAACAACTTCATTTGTTTAATGTATACCATCGTGTATTGACTACCACATAGGTTACACGAATGACTGGGCACATAGGTAAACACACATTGCCAACGCTTTGAGTGACAATTGACACACACAGTTGTGATCGGTTCTTTAAATACCTAGAAAGGAAAGCTGAGCATAATTGGAAACTCAAGAATGTCTCATGCACCACTATCAAGAAAACTAAATATCACGATATATAAAAATTACTTTAATTACTAACCAAGCGTAACAGCACCACCACTTGAATTTGTTATCGATCTTTAATTAATAATTACCGGAGAATAGATACCGAGAAGGGGCTTGAACAGGCATAGCTAAGAGGACATGGCTAGGCTAAAGGAGGAGCTGTAGGTGTTGTGGGTATTTAAATTGACAGAAGTTGCAAAAAGGGAAACGCGTGTAAGGATTTGACAGAAGTGGCTTAATTTGAGTTGGATAGGACAAATCTAATAAGCAAATTTGGACGGAAAAATTTGACATTCATTGAGATTTCATGAAAAAAGTTCAGCTGAAAACTCAAATAAACAACTTCACAATCCTTCCCAGTTTTAGTTTGCAAAACAGAAACTCATCCTACAACTGTCATTTGAAATCCATCTGTAATGTTTCATATAAATTACAACCAAGGCCACTTTTATCTCTCAACAACTCTTTCAATACCCATGTGGTTGGTGCTAGGATGGGTTTTTGGCTACACATTCACACAAATGCCTGCAAGGATGTGCGTAAAATATGTGGCTGGAGAACCCTATGTGGTAACATGAAAACAACCTCTCAACCCTAAAGCATTTCACACAAACACCATGTGTTAAACGTTTACACAATGAATCATGAACCTGCGCTTTATTATTATTTTCTAAATAATAATGGTAAAAAATTTAAAAATCAGTAATGTATTTGAAATTTTAAAACCCACACTGTCCTCAAACGAGATATTGAAACAAGCCTAACTCAAATTCAAGGTAAAGACAACCGAACAAAGTTGCACCTGCACGAACAGTTCATGTTTTACTATTTTATTATTCACTCACATGCAGAGAAATATAATACTTGGGCTCAACTTTAGGATTTTATGAATTACTAAAGATCTTTATATCCACGTTAGGCCCCTTGAAATGTCAATTCCCCCAATATCAAGAAGAGTCTTTACAACTCAGAACTCCAAAAACTTTATGCAGCACATGCTTACTATGGAGTTCAATGAGATGGTACCAAGATAGAAGATGCACATTATTGATTTTTATTACGTATAGTCCAAATCGATCACTTTGATCATCACCTAGAACAGATAACAAGATTAGGAATTTGCACTGCCTCTTATAGAGACTGCCTAGCAAGCAAGCGCCATGGCCCAAGACAAACACCTAAAAAGTTGAGACCACGGTTGCATAATTAGGAACTTAGGATATAACATAAAATTGCAGAACAAAACCAATCTTTTCAATTAAAGCTTGTTATTAGCTTGAAAAAACTGGAAAACACTGGTAATATTTATATTCGCATTACATCACTATAACAGCATCTGCAATATAAAACAAATTATTTCATGTTGACACACCTCAATTTCGCTTCCAAAAAACTTGCCAAGAATCCCTGATGTTTACAAAGTTGCCACCACCTAATCAATTATGAGTGATTAGACCATTTGGGATTCTGAATGATTGACACATCTTGCCCAGAGATCTTAAACGGGTTGGCCCTTTCGGGATAGCCAAAATGGTTTGGTTAAAAAAGTCACGATTTAAACAGGCTTGCAAGTTGCAACTTGACATAACTCTAACCTAATAGGTTCTAATGGGCTACAAACGGCTCATCTATCAAAATGTTTGAAGTTACATATGTAAATACAAAACTTGAATATAGACATATACAATATTATATTTCATATATGTTTACCTAATCTTAGTTAATTACATATTTAAACCAATAAAACTAAAAATTTATTAAATAACATTGATGTATAATAATTGTTTCTCATTATATACCAAAAATAAGAATAATTTTATTACATCCCCTCTATATATAAATGCATAGTTTCCAAACCTATGTGTTAACTTCTAATGTTTTGCAATCCAATTCCGGTGCTTCATAATCTTATGTGTTAATTTATGGCGGTTTGGAGTAATCCACATAGATTTGGAGTTATATTTTCAGTACTTGTAAAATAATAAAGCCATTGACTAACTTAAATTATAAATATATTTTACAAATTACTAACTTTCGTATTTATTATAAAATTCTCACATATTATATACCAAATTAATCATTGTTTGACAAGCTTCGATATGGTATAAATATTGCATATACAAATATGTATATCTTTACCTTTATAATAAAAATCAAATTATCGATCAATATGAACTAGAAAATAATAGAATTAATCATGAATTGAATAATATATCTATCAAGTCCATTATATAATATGATATAAAAAATTATTATAATATAGGAAGGGCAAGTCATACAAAAATGAAAAATAACAGTGAAATATAAATAGTAACAATAACAATAATAATAATAATAATAATAATAATAATAATAATAATAAGAATGTAACTTTTTTATATTTTAAATTTAAAACAAAACTTTCATTTTATTAATTTTTAAAATTTAGATAAACATTTTTATGAGCATTCGTGTAATGCACGGGTGTTGCACTCTACTAGTTTTCAAATTATAAAATTTAATACAACAACAAATTCTAGAACAAATAAATAGTTGGATAATATATGTGAACAAAATTAAGTAAACTAATTTTTTTCGTTAACAAATAATAAACATAGGTATTAACTCTTATTTATATTAATAAACAGCAGTTAACCTAGGGGCTATTCCTAACAAACTCGAGCTAAATGGAGCTAAATGGTCCATGTTCTGCTCTAATTTAAATGGGCCAAGGTATTGAGGGCCTAACCCTTTTTTTTGCCTAAACAAGTCAGGCCGAATGGGCTTTGTCCCATTTAACATCTCTTGTTTCGCTGGTCCCTAGACTGTGATAGAAAGTACAATGAAAACTATTTCCATATTTATATATATAATCAGAAGGAAAAATGAGGAGGTGCTTCGAGGACTAGTCCCCCATAGTGGTGCCAAGGACATGTTCATGGCTCAAAGCAGGTCAAAGAAATTAAACCTTGGGATAAACTCAACAGGTCTCGAGTTCGAGTGATGCAGGGGTAAGTGGAGAACCACTACCGATCCTAAAAAAAACATAATCATAAAAAATAAATAAATAAAATAAAACAAAATAAAAAAACTTGGGATAAACTCTAGACCCATTAACCAGGTCCAACTATCCCACCAATTGTGTTCCCATGGGTGTGTTACGCGAGTACCCTGTGTTGGTGTTTGCATGTGTAGGAAGATGCAAAGCAAAGAAGACTTGCTTAAGTTATGTCAGCAATAACTTGTGTAATGGCAGAAGATTGCGATTAGCAGTTGGATTTCTTGAATTGAACCCAAGGTATTCTAACAACTTATGGACAACATGCATTAATGCGCTCGACGTACTTACCCCATATGTGGGTGGCGTAAGGGGAAGTTGTGCATGCAATGCAAACTAAGGGTCAATCTAGGTCCAAAATTAGGACATTGTTGCCAGTGATAATTAATAGTTGGAGAGCAAGTCCGAAGCAAACCAAAAGGTTGCCAAAAATACATTCATGAGCTTATCATGAAATGATATAGAGTTTCGGTAGAGCAACTAGTATGGTGAGCAGCGAAAGAATATGTAAGAGAAATTGAGAGAACTATCATTTTCTTATTTGTTAATAAAAGCAAACCCTAATGACATCAAAAGAAAGCGTTCAAATCCCAATGGTCTACCATAATAAAATCTACAGCATAAAAAACACGAAATAAAGATAACTGCTCGAAATAAATAAAACAATTAAACTCCTAATCAAACATTCCATAAATGCTAGGGCAGTCTCATCTCCATCATTTGGGTTGCCTGAAGAATATTGACCATTTTTATTTGTTGGTCACTGATTTACTTCAAGGATACCGGTTCACTCTCAAGGAGGTCAGATCGAGATAAAGATTATTGCTAGACCAGAAAGACACGCACAGTTTACCAAATGCATAGATGGCCTGAGAATGAACTATACAAAATACATTTCCAATTTAAAACTTACTCATTCTACCGACCACCTTAAGTGTGGACAGCCCATTCCCAAGTAAATCTAACAAGACATTTAACACCTTCAATATGCTAACATCCAAGATACTTCATTCACTTCTACCCTGATCACAGTAGCAAGTACAAAAAGAATAGGGATGAAAATTTCTGAAACTACAGGAGATATCAACTTGAATTTGTTCACAACTCCACAATCTTCAATAGGAAGCCTCCTATATAGCCATCCCTATAAATATTTTCCTCTAAAACACAAAATTATGAAAACCATGCAGTTTTTAGGTTGTAAATCTGACCTCAAGATTTCGGATCTGCTCCTGGTATTGAGATACCAGCTGTTTCAGCTGATGCAATTCCTGGCTCATTTTTTCAAATGCCTTATGTCTCTCATGTTGTATGGAAACTGCCCGCTTCAAAATAATATTTTCCTGCAACAGTGCTTCCAGTTGCTGTTTTACCATTATGTTTCCCTACAAAAGAGACCATGTTTAATCATATGCAATAGTAGCAAGAATATTTATAGTTTTTGGGCCATAATAACATGAATACATCAAAGATAAAGATATAACGTAAACTAAAAGAGGGAAGGGATATCTACACAGTGCCGAAAAAGTAAGTAATTACTTAAAAGAACATACCTCTTGAAAACATATTTAATCGTATGCAATAGTAGCAAGAATAATTATAGTTTTTGTGCCATAATAACGATGAATACATCAAAGATAGAGATATAACCTAAACTAAAAGAGGGGAGGGATATCTGCACAGTGCTGGAAAGTAAGTAATAACTTAAAAGAACATATACCTCTTGAAAACTTTTTGCAGCCTCTGATGTAGCATTCACACAAATGGACTTCTCCAATGCCTCAAGTGCTCGTGATAAGCGGGCCTTAGCATCATCCACATTTGGAGCACTTAAAACTTCTCTAACCAAAAGTTCCACCCACTCTGCTCCATCAACAGGAAGATTGCTTTCTGCAGGTTTTTCCTCTCTCTGAGGAACTTCCCCAGTGTTCACCACTGCGTACACATAACAGGAATAAGCATAACCATGTAACGAAGATCTAATCAGTTCCAAAGAGATTCCATAGAGCAAGAAAACAACACAAAAAATCAAATAATTGAAACCAGAATATCTGTGCCCAAAATACAAGCACTCAAATATCACTAACAATCACAAACTCTGAGGAAAGAAAAAACAGAGGGATTCAAGACTGACACAAACAAGAAGGGAAAATAAATAATTTAAATTTAAATATAATATCATAGAATAAATACAACAAAGGTTTGATATACAACAAGAAGAATGAACACAGCTAAAGAGTTTTGAGTGAAGGTATAAGTTCCGTCTGCAGTCAAGTCAAAGCCACAAAACAAGTAGCTTATATGTTAAATTTATTCTGATATGTTAGCCTCACCTAATTGTTACAAAACCACAATTAGGGGGTTCTTGGCAAGTTAATATGTAGTCGAGATGGGTAAGGGATTAACAGTAAACCGCAACCTCCCTCAACCCAACCCAACAACCAAGAAACACTTTAGTGGGCAAATATCTTGCTTCAATTGCTAATGCTTGGAATAAAGCGTGCAAGTCTAAGGAAACTACAGCTTGGTTCAACCAGTATATTTTAGGTGAAGAAGAAAAATTCCCCTCCTTCAATAACATCAGAAAGAAAAAATTTGCGTCACCGGAAGAGCGACGTAAAGCCATTAAATCCTGATGGCCATCAAGGCATCATCATAGTATGTCAAATCCATTTTCCAGACCATTAAGTCCTGGATCTTGTCTAGAAAATGTCAAGCTCAATGGACAAACCAAAATATCTGAACTTCAGTCAACTGTTACACATTTACAGAACCAAAAAGCATCCTATCAAAATCCACGCTCGCAATAATTTCAATTTGAATTTTCATGAAGAAGTAAAGGCAAAAATCATATATTTCAAGTATGTAAACAAGACTGTACTCCAAGCTTGCACTATAAAGATATTCTATTCCTCAGCCCTAGTACGTATTCTAGGCCAGAGTCATTACAGTTGATAAAGTAGGTGGACTTTAGCACTACTAGAGTAACTCGCTGTCAGCACTCGAGTGCTCACTCGTTGAGTGATATACCTATCCTCACCATGAATCTTTCTCTACCTTTTTCCTGAAACAGTTAAAGTTTAACCAGATAGGAAAATTCCATCCACAAACATGTATCTCCCCCTGTTCATTCACCTCCATAAAAGAAAAGACGTGAAATTAGTAGAAGTATGTCAGTATAGGATGCAAAGCTGGGAGTACAAGAGGAGAGAAGCTTTGCATCAAATCATCAAAAGGGTTAATGAAGGGACCATTTCAGTAAGTTCAGCAACAATGTTATATGTGACGAGTTTGGTGACATCATGAACTCTAAAAGTTTACTGTGTCCTCCAACAACTCTTGAACAACAACAAAAAACTAGACAAACAAAGTAATTTCACTGGACAAAGCCCAAAAAAAAAAAAAAAAA